ACGATATAGAAACTCTTTTACTATCTTAAAAAGGCCATAAATTGATAAAATCAGGGTAGAAGAGATAAATGGTTGGTATAGTTGATAGTAGGATCAAGTTGAGGGTAAGATTGGACTAAAAAATCCTTAGGATATGTTAGATTGATACCCGGAGGTTGACTATTTGTGAGACAGGGTCAAAATCAGACCTTTGGTTACTAAAATGACCACCTAGGACAAATTAGGGATTCATTTGAAGATTGAAGATTAGGATTTGAGAGCTAGCTTGAAACTCTTTTGAAAGACATAAGGATTTTTTTGGTAGGATTTTTGAAGATTTAACAATTGTTATTCAAAATCAAGGTTTATATTGGTAATTTGGATTTTATATAATATAATTAGGACTAGTAATTTTGGCTAGTTTGTGCAATTAGTGTAACATCTATGGTTAAAAATTTAATATTATTTGGATTATTAAATGTGCTATGTTTATACAAAATTTTGTAGTAATCTAACGGTATAGTTTAGAGATATCTAGGTTTTAGCACAAGAAGGTTTTGAAAGTTGGCAGTTTGGGGTTGGATAGGATTTTTGTGATATCTAGAGATCTACTAGTTGGATCAATATGAAATTTGGCATGGTATTGAAGGACTTGAAGATCAAGTTGTATACCAATTTTGAGTCAAAGTTAATAGTTGAACAAGAAAAAAACACTGCTGGGATTTTTGCTTCACTTTTCAAGTTGGTGGCTAAGTCACATCTGTGCAATTTTTGAAGGTTTTCTCACAATCTATAAGTTGGATTGGATTGAAAATTCTTGAGCATATAGGAGACTTATATTGACATTTGCATGTAAAAGTTTACATCAAAATGATGGTCAGATTAGAAGTTATAACTTGTTAAAGCTCACTTATTAGGATTGGTACTTATAAGAAAAATCTAAATTGCTTAAATATGAAAGTAATAAGGTAATTAAGGTTTATGTGTGTATGAAGCTACTAAAAAGAGTGTTTTTTAATACTTTTGAATTAGAATTTGGATTATATTCTTCTCATATATGTAAAATCTATTAAGATTTTTTGGATATTTGTGAAACACAACCTCATCTCCCATAGCTAGGTGCCCAGTGCATTCTCAAGCAAGATAACATGTAATATGATAACATGTTTGCCGCAAATGCCTCATAATCATATCATAGTTGCCGTCTTTGTAGTTCGACTCTTGAAGCAACTTTACTTGGCCACAGTATGCTCGGATATTGATGCTCTAGTACTTGCACAAATCTTCTTTGATACCATCTTTTGTCACCATGGATTACCTTCTGTCATCATTTGAAATTGGGATCCATACTTCACGAGAAATTTTTGGCAAGCCTTTTTTAAGCTATTGGGCATATAACTTGTCATATCTACAATCTTCTATCTTCAAATAGATAGATAAATAAAGTGTGCAAATTGGACCTTGGAAGAAATGTTGTGGGCATTTATGGTAGTTCATCATAATGATTGGAATGAATATTTGATACCCTTAGAGTTTACTTACAATGATAGCATTCAAGCAAGTATCAATCATTCACCATTTTTTCTTAACACAGATTAATATCTGATTTATACCAATAATTTTTCAACGTCACATTGACACCAACAACTCAACAATGGAGGAATTTATACAATGGATTACAATGACCTTACAAGAATCATAGTACTACCTTCTTATCACATAGAATCGAGTGAAGCAGTATGCAGATAACCATCCATAACACAAGACCTTCTGAGAAGATGATCAAGTATTACTCTCTAATGCTAACTTGCTATTTGCTACATCGACCTTAATTCGTGAACTAGTACCTTAGTGGCTTGGGCCTTTTTGTATTTTTGCAAATATTTTTGATGTTGTAAATTACCTCAAGCTTCCGCCACATATTTGGATCAATCATGTCTTCCATATTTTGCAACTAAAGGGATTTCATATGAAGCCAAAGCACTTTTCGGATCGATAGCAACTATGACCACCATTAGTTGTAGTTAATGACCAACAAGATTATGAAGTGGATAACATTTTTGAGCATTGCTATCTTTGTTGTGGCACTAGACATCCTCAATTTCAATACAAAGTTTTTTGGAATGGTTATTCTATCTATGATGCAATGTGAGAACTTGTACAAAACCTCACCCATTGCTAAGAGACAATTTAGAAATACCATTGGAAGAAAAATGATGACATTTTTCATTAATAGAGAAGGATTAATTGCAACATGATATAAATAAGATAGTTTTATTATTGACACATAGGGATAGATAGTTAGAACCAAGTTTGAAAAGTTATGGAAGTTTTTAGAATTGAGGTAAGGTTAATGGACCATATAGGGCCTACCATGGAACCTTCTAGAAAAGTCTTAGGACAGTTATCATAGCGAGGCCTACCATAAAATCTTCTAGAAGCAGTTTAAGATGGTTATTTAAATGATGTCTATCATCTAAGAACATTTTAGAAAGTCCAGCATTGTAGAACAAAGTATAAGTAGGAATGGCTAGGGTCTTTTGGGGCATCTAATTAGATATGGCTTCAAACCTCTTTTCTTAATACAATTGGATTTTATATCTTCCTGTTTTATTTAATTTTATTCTAATTTTGGTTACTTAGTTTTATCTTTTGTGTTCCATTTTGCTTAATTCTGTTCAATTTTGTTCTCGTTGAGTTTTTCCTACCTTGTCATGTGGTTTTATGTTGCTTTAGATTAGAAAGGTCTTAAATACTTAAAATAGACTAGTCTTATTTCAAGCAAACTTGATGTACAAGGTCATTTACTTTATGACAAAAATCCCCTTCAAAATAGAATTCATTATCTTAATCTATTTTATAATAAAGTCAAATCTTTTATCATCTATTTTGGATAAAAATATTTCTTGTAATAGGCCAACTTGTTTCTCTAAATGTACCAAACACAAAGCAAAACCATAGATATAAAAAAAACATTTCAATGGCATTTATTAGTATCAAGTCTCTATTAACACTAATGCTAATGGATTGCAATGCTATATATAATTGAATAAGTTGAATTAATGCCTACTACAAAAATAATTGAGTTTCTTTTTAGAAAAATACAACTAGAATTGTAAGAGATGTATTGAAACTTATGACATTCTAAACATGTATTATGGACATTCTAAATTTGTTTATTTTTTTATGCAATCTATAACTATATTGTATACATATATTTTTTTTACAAGTTGTATCATTAAAGATGGATCAAAATTAAATAATTAATTTTTTTTGTCCTATTGTATTTATATGCATAGTAGTATGCAACATTACTAAGGTTTTCTATTAAAATAAAAATAGACAAACAACTATGAAGATCAATCTAATAAAGATGTTGTACTCATTGTAGTTAGTATGCATAGCCAAATAACTTGTAGGAACTCCTTGTTATAATATAGTGACAAAATTCTTTGAAGCTACCTTACATGAAACACTTGAGTAGTTAATCCATTTTATGGAAGTTGGAGGTGATGAGCAATGGAATGTCCAAGCATCAATACAAAAAGGCCATAATTATGACTTCCATTTTATACCGATAAGTGCCATTGTTTGTCAATGAGCAACTTTTCATCCATATGGTTGAGTTATGATGATAAAATAAGTTAGCATCAAGGCCACTATAAGTGCAACCTTTGTTATATTGAAAGACAATGCAACTCTTATCTAAGCAGCATCAACAAATAAAATAACACTAGGCATGCATGAATCTATTTAAGCCTCTTTTCATATCTTCAAACATATCAAATGATTCCTTTAGTGGATGATCCATATTGAGTGGATTTTTTATTTTGAAATAGAACAATTCCAAAGTCACCAATATTCCATCTTCCATCTCTAGATAGTAGGTAGCATAGTTAAAGCACAATAAGTGAGAAGATGGTTGCATAAATTTAATGCCACAATGAAATAGATAATATAAACATTTTAAACACATAGTATTGTATTGTTACCATTTATTGGAATTATCCATTTTGAAGTTCTTTGAAAAGTCATGTCTCCATGATTATATTATTTCTATACATCTAATAACCATGATTGTTTCAATCAATCTTCTAATAATGGAAATAATAAAAAATACATCTTGATAATTTATTTTCTAATTTTTGATTTGTATGTGCATTAGTATAATCTAGTAATAATCTATTTTTTTGTTTATATTTTAATATTCTTATATATATATATATCATAATAAATAGTAAATTAGTATTTATTTAGATATTTTTTAATAAACTATAAATTTCCAAATGAAGTATAGACATGCACTAGTTTACCATTTAAATGAATTGTATAGATTATAAATGATAGAATATAATCTTGAACAAGAAAATTAAATCAAGATTATGTTTACAAATATTAAAAATCAATGGAGATGCAAAACATATATAAAATACCTATAATTTTATAATTATTTTATAGACATATTGATTGGAACTATCCAATGTGACTTATCAGTGGATTTATTTATTTATGTTGAGCAGACTAGAAGAAGGAAATATCAAGGATAGACGGAGAAGAAATCGCACTTTAAAATAGACAATGAAAAAGCACAAAGTGTTCATATTTAGCTTGTAGTACTGATTATTATTGGGTGACACCTCAATAACCAGTACTATATATTCGGAAGTGTGCTTTAGGGTGGACCGACCAAGAGAACGAAGCCTGGGGGGTGGGGGGACTGCTCAGGGCTGATGTGGCGAATGGTGGGGGTGAGTGTGCAGTTAGGGCCAGCGTGGCACCACGAGGGACGGGCGGGGAGGGACCGGGACGGGCCGGGGAGGAGGGACGGTCAACCAGGGGATCAAGGAGGGGGGGAAGGGTGGGGGAGTGGGGCAATGGAGCAGTAGTGCCACCTCTGACTTTTCCCCCCTTGTATCCCATCTAGCAGCGGCCCCTTTCACACGGACCACTACTCTTCCGTCGTATCGCCCCCCCCCCCCTAGATTCTTTTTCTTCGTTTTTCGCTCTTCCCCTTTTTCTTCGTTCTTCTTCTATTTCGCCTGCTTCTAGGGTTTTACCTCCACTTTACTCCACTCCCCTCCCTCAACCCCATTCCTCGAGTACTCTTCGGTCTTGTGCTTCCAATTTCTCTTCACCGCCATGGCACTATTGCTCAATGTTAGCATACTTCCTTGGTTGGATATGACCGCGGCTACGGCTACGGCGATTGTTTGTAGCCCCTGATTGTCAAAGTCTTCGTCATTCTTTGCTGTTGTTTTTTTTTTTTTTTTTTTGTTTTTTTGTGTGAGGTGCTAGGGGACATTTTTTGTTTGCGTCTTTGCGGGCGGGGTGAGCTATGGATCACTGGGACGGAAGCGGAGGAGAAAAGGAGGATGACCTCGCGAGAATGAAAGGGGAGAATAGCCCTTTGCCGGAGGAGGATGACAATGCCACTCCCACGGGATCCCCTTCGCCAGCGCTGTCGCCGTCGCCATTGGCAGTAGTTCATTCACCTGGAGTTCCTGGGGCAGGTGCTGCAGCTGCGGTGTCAGTAGGTCTTGGAGGAGCAGACGCTGTTCCGATGGACGAAGTCCACCCTGCGTCCGTGGCGCCGAACGGTGGAGCTTCGTTTATGTCGAATAATGTAAGTTTGTGTTCGCTGGTTTTCTCGGTTCTTCGCAATTGGACTGCATGATTTTGACTTTTATTGGTTTTGTTGGCTTTTAAAATTTTTAGAAGTCGTAAAATTTTGTTATCAGTCTTATTTTTCTTGGGCGAATTTTGCTCATGTTTGAACTTCGGATTAGCCTAATCTCGAGTCGAGGTGAAGGTCGGCAAGCTGATGAGCTCGTTTTGATTTTTAGAGTTTACTTTCCTCTTTGCTTCATCAGGAACGGCGCGCTCGGGCGGCCATTTTGATAAACCCGCACGATGTAGATGCTTGGAATGGGCTTTGTAACGAGGCTCAGGTAAGAGATCATTACTTCCTCCGGCAACGGGTGTAATGAAAATTTGGTGAAACACAGGTATAATTGGAACAAGTCGAATGGAGTTTAATTGTTCTCCTGCAAAGTTTATGATTCAAAAGTATCATCGTTTACGTTTTTGATGAGTTTGCGCCTTGAGGACCCCTCGTTTATTTGTTGCATACCAGCTCGTGGCCGTGATAGTTTGTTGGATCATATTATTGAGCAGATGAAGCCGATTGGAGATGCTGTTCCAATTTACGAGGAGTTGGTTTCCACGTTTCCAACATCGGTACCATTTTCGAACTTTGCCTTACTCTTGTTGTGTCCTTTAAAAAGAAAAAAAAGAGTGCAGTTTCTTCTTAGATTAGAGACGAATATTAAGCACTGATATCTGGGAGAATCGAAAGCGTAGTTTTGATGTGCTTCAATACTCTAGTTTTCGCCTGCTTAAAAAGCACTTTTTGGCTCTGTTCCGAGAAGGGTGTTTCGATTAAACAATAATTAGAACGCGGGGTTTGTGAGCAGGCAAAGTTTTGGAAAGTTTATGTGGAGGCTCAACTAACAGCAAACGATGACGATGCTGTGAAGCAAATATTTAGTCGATGCCTGCTTCAGTGCCTGCATGTGGACCTTTGGTTCGTTTCACATATTTTTTCTCCCCTTCCTTGACCCTCTGGTTCTAAGTATCTGTAAGAGACATCCACTGCAGCCCGAAGCTTCTAATTTTGCATTATAAGAGCAGTGTGTCGTTTGAAGGAACTTCTGGCATTTCCATAGCTGTAGTCTTTATCATTTATGAGAATTCGCTTTTTAAAAATGTTAGCGACATTCTTGTCACGTATCTGTTGAGACGGATTTGTGAGCCGTTTGATCCTTGGTAATTATCTGTACAAGCTCGTTTAAAAAAAATTTGGTAATCAGCTTAGGAAAGAGATTCCAATAAAATAACGTTCCGTGGAGCATTTTCTAAGCATGCTAATATGGGAATTCAATCTTAGTAAGTCATTAATGTGATGGTGGTCCAGGAGAGCATATCTTCGATACATGCGCAAAGTGAATGAAAATAGAGGTTCTGAAGGGCGCGAAGAGATGAAAAAAGCGTTTGAATTCATGCTCGGGCATATTGGTACGTTATTTGTATTTGAGATGTTGTAGTTTTCTGTATTATTAGCTTTGAAATAGTTCATCTCTGGGGTTGTTGTGTGGACCATTCTGATGAAAATATGCATGGATCTGGAACAGGTTTTGATATTAATGCAGGTCCGGTTTGGCTTGAGTACATTTCTTATTTGAAAGCTGCTCCAGTAAGTTCTCAATAGTACATGTTGTGTGAATGTGTTGTTGAATTTTACTTATCCCTAGGATATGTTTGAGGTTTGGGTATGTGAGCGTGCTGTCGTGTTTTATTCCATGCGGTGAGGGAATTCGGGCTGTCTTACGATTCCAATGTACCGTGTAGTTTAAGACAGGTTAATTAATGTGCAAGTTCCTAGCACAAGTTAACGAGTGTACTAATGCGCAGGTCCTTACAATGCTATTCTTTTTACAGCGTATTTGTTTATTGTTTGCGTTAATCTGATACCAGTCTCGGACGATTGTGATGAGTAGGCAGCGACTCCACAAGAAGAATCCTTTAGGATGACAGCAGTGCGGAAGGCTTATCAGAAGGCTGTCTTGGCTCCTGTTCATCTCGTTGAGCAGATTTGGAAGGAATATGAAAGTTTTGAGAATTCCGTCAGCCGTGCCCTGGTTGGCTGCTTGCCCTTTAATCAGAGTCAGAGTCTAGGAGTAACACAGCCATCGATTGTGATGCACTTCTGGGGTTCAATAAAATTGAAGTTTTTACATGGCCATCCTTTGTCTGGGTTGCACATACTTCAGTATGGGGTACTATGGCTTCAGTATGGTGGTATGGGTATGTCATATTAATCAGATCGCGGTTCGTAATTATTTTTATTTTGAATTGTGAATGATTTCCTCACTATGCCCATTATAGGTGCTAATGTGGTCCAGTCTTAAGCTTGTTCTTGTTGTTCTTGTGTCTTTATGACTTATGGCTGAACGTGCTTCTGCTTAAGCTACCCTATTGCTCAAGTTTTGTGCTTTCTGTGAACAAATTCACGTGTACTTATGTATTGATAGGGGCAAACATAATTTTGCGCCAGTTAATGATTGAAGCTCAAGCAGACTGATTCAGGAGCTTCAATGGTATCGGTTGAGCATGTATCTAAGGGCTGAATCGCACTGTCTATGCAGGCAAAGGGCCTTTTGGCCGAATACCAACCTAAGCATTTCAGTGCCAGGGCTGTTTATAGGGAGCGCAAGAAGTACTGTGATCATATTGAAACAAACATGCTTGCGGTGCCTCCAACGGGCTCGTACAAAGCAAGTTTCGTTACCTGCCACTTAGATTTTGCTTTCGCTCTGGCCACTCTGGTGCCATCAAATGGTGACCTGGATTACTGTATGTATGTGTGAATTGTCCCTTGAGTTCTTGATCCGCAACCTTGTGATCAATGATGATGTATTTGGTTGTCGGGGATGATGGCTTGGTTTCTAGGATTGATGTTGCGTAAGGGTGATCACACTGAACATCTGGGCCGAATTTGCAGCAGTTCTCTTCACTGTTCAATTGGGGCTCGTTTATTTTTTTAGTGTTTCTATCTGCCTAAAACTTTGTCTTATGCAGGGCTTTATGCTGCCATCTGCTTGCATTATGTTCTCAATACTTGAATTCCCCATTATGAATTGAGGCTGTGAATTGTCCACTTCCAGAACTGGGTCAATGTGCAATGTTGTTTGTTTACGTTGTAAATGTAGTTTTTTCAAGACCAGCCGACTCTTGGTTCCCTTCAAAATTGTGCTGAATTCGGTTACTTGCATTGGCACTCACTGTTTGTAGCACACTGTTGTATTTATTGACGAAGTGTTATGAATATTGTCCTGGTGTAGAGTCTGACCTAGTTCTTAGCGTTCATGTATTCAGGAAGAACAGCAGTGCATAGCTTGGAAGCAGTTGTTGAAATTTGAGAAGTAAGATACTTTTGGCTTGTGGACCAATATTTGCTTGGTCTGATGCAGAAAGAATCGTTGTAGATGTGTAGTTGAAGCAGAGAAATAGGCGTTCATAAATGTTGATTCATCTTAGTATCTGCTTTTTGTTTTTGAAGAGAGTATCTGATTTCATTTTGGATTCATATCGATGTGCCCTTTTATGTTCTTTATCTAGAAAAGACATTGTTCAAGCCTGTTTGTCGTGTTGCTTTACAACTAGTTTTGGCTTAGAGTCCCCCCTAAATCGTATCAGCTGCGAGTGGAAGTGATCAGTCTTATTGAATGTTGAAGGGCTGAATTCTGGCAGGGGGAACCCACAGCGATTAGACCCAGTGGGTTTGACCAAGCATGTAGCTTTCACATATGAACAGGTAATCAGGCTGAATCCATGCATTGTGTTGAAAATGCTTCATAGACATCACCACTGATATCTTGTCGAACAAGTTGATTGACAATGGGCATGCTTTGTATATATACCGTTGATAGTCAAGTAAGACATTCGAGTACTTGATGAAATTAACTTATGATGTGTAATTTTGGGTGGTTATGCAGTGCTTGATGTATCTGTATCATTATCCAGACATTTGGTATGACTATGCCACTTGGCATGCTCAAAACGGGTCACCTGATTCTGCTGCTGTTATATTTCAGCGAGCATTGAAAGCTCTACCAGGTTATACTCTTGTTTTCATTTTCTGTTCTCTTCGGGGCTTTGGTTGTGATTTTCTTATTTCAGTAAAATTTTTTAGACTTCGGTTTACGGATTATCCTTGTCACAACTTGACCAGAGTCAATCCGGCAAGCAGGCCTTTTTGAAGAGCATCATTGCCAAAGAGTAAGTCAAGCGTCGTAACTTAATGAGGCTTTTCAAAAGCAGTTGCAATACCAGTTTGGGTCTCATAGTTGCATAACACTAGGAGTCAGATTCTGGAATTTGCCTGAACTGATGTTTGTTGGGATTCCTCGTTTGTGCATGGCAGATACAGCAGTATTGCATTATGCATATGCTGAATTCGAAGAAGCTCGGGGTGCAGTCAAGGTATTTGAGAAACATTGTGAATCGTTCTCTTTGATTCATTGAACACATGATTGGTTTAAGAAGGCAACATGAATCTTGGAATCTTGAAGTTTTGTGTTGGATCCAGGAGCTAATCTTCGCATTTTTCTCGTTTGGCCAGGAAGCCAAGGCAGTGTATGAGACGCTCACTACGAATAGTAAGACAGCCGATGCTTTAGCATACATTCAGGTAAATAGTTTCATTCTCACAAATATATTATGGGTTGGGGGGAGATCTTTAATTGATATCACTATATGGTTCTCAGAACATAATTTTAGTCCATCCTTTTCTGCCGAGATCTCAAATTCCAGTGACTTTTAAATGAAAAAATCAGTAAAGATCTTTGCGTATTTTTAACGCTTTCGAAGTTTTGCAGTTGATGCGCTTTGTGAGGAGAACAGAGGGAATTGAAGCAGCTCGTAAAATCTTCTTGGAAGCCCGGAAGTCCTCTGCTTGTACATATCATGTTTATGTTGCATCTGCCACTATGGAGCTTTGTGTCGATAAAGATCCCAAGGTGCAACTTTGAACATCAATAAAAGTGATTAGTACATGCTTCTGATAAAAGTAAAATTTCTGTATGTCTGTAGTTGTGGTTCTATGTATATTTTGATGTTCTTTATTATTGAACTTTTAAAGACCTTAGTAAAAAATTAATATCTGCCTCTGTATTGCTGATGTATCTCTGAGTTTTCTCAAGGAGGCCATCCTTCTTTGTGATTACTGCTGGTTATTTAATTGTATTCTTGTGACTTCATTTGTTGTAGGTGGCTCGTAACATATTCGAATTAGGGCTGAAGAAGTACATTCATGAGCCTGCCTATGTGCTAGAGTGAGTACAAAATTCACAGGATTCCAATTTTCTGCCATAATTCTTAGTTGAGGATCTGTAAGTTGCTGTGAAATGCTATGCACTTGAGGTATTACTCTTTGTGAAAGGAGGATGAACTGACGCTTCATTCCATGCTTCGTAATCAGATATGCAGATTTTCTTTGTCGTATGAATGACGAACGAAACGTACGGGTGCTCTTTGAGCGCGCTCTTAGTGTACTTCCTGCTGAAGAATCTGCAGAGGTGTGCGCTTCTCTATGTTTGGCATTGTTGATCATTCCAGTGATCAACATCACGTAACTTTTCATTTATTTATATTAAAAAATCATGTAAGTGCTATTCACGATGAAGTGCTACTTCTAAATACTTGAAGATTTACGAGACTATTTTGTTTCAGGTGTGGAATCGGTTTCTTGCTTTTGAACAAACGTATGGAGATCTTGCCAGCACGCTGAAGGTATGCTATCGAACAAACTCGCTGCCATGTAATATGTGCATAATGTCTCCTCGATAAAAATGTGAAGTATTTCATGATTTCTATTGTTTCAACAATGTCTCTGTACCAACAATCGTTCTTGACATTGTTCGTTCGTGCTGACCGCGTGCTTTGTTTTTGCCCCCTATTACAACACCTACTTCCAAATTGTCATGATGGATTGGTAGGTCGATTCTATGATTTGGAGTCAATGAATTGGGAATCTCGTTGTTTATCTTGTGGATCGTTACCAGGTTGAGCAGCGGCGGAAGGAAGCACTTTCTCAAGCAGGGGACGATGGTGCACTCGTTGCTGAACCTTCGCTGCAGCGGCTCATCATCAGATACCGTTTCCTGGACCTATGGCCATGTTCACCCTTTGATCTTGATCACATGTCTCGTCAACAGGTATACTTAGGGTAGATTTTCTGAGCAAATGGCGTAAATGTTTTCATGAACATTTTCTTATGATGGTACTGTGGGGTGACAACTTTCCGTGTCTTCTTAATGTGGTTCCAGTATCTTCTAATTTGGATAAATGCCTTCAAATGTATTACATTTTTCCAGTTTATACATGTTAAAGTATTAATATATTGCTTATGGCGATCCCATTTTTTACTTCATCTTCTCTGCAGATGGCCGTCCAAAAGTTATCGTCAAGAATAGAAAAGGTTAGCTCACATGGTCCAAGTGAAAGGCAAGCTAACCGAGATTCTGGTCCACTAGGTGAAACTTACTTTTCTCTTCCTTTATTAGAGCTGACCTTGGAAACTGTCTTTCATAGTAACTAACCATGTAGATTCAGGCCTTCATAAATGAGTTTCTCTTCGTAATTCGTCAGCGATCTTTTTCGTAGTGTTGTTTTTTTTTTTTTTTTTTTTTTTTTTTAGTACCTTTTTTTTAATGCATTTGTGTACCTGAAGCAGCTGAAAAGAATTCATCAGTCGGAGCAGTCGGAAACACAGGTTCTAATATCAACATTGTTCGACCTGACGTGACGGCCATGATGGTCTATGATCCTCGGCAAGGATTTGGTAATGCCTCTTTCCTGCTCACTACTGGTTTTGTCCCTGTTATTTGCTTTTAAGATCAGACATTAAAGGACCAGCTCTGCTAATGACAGGATTTGTTTATTGATTTTCAGGAGTTATCACCCAAGGACAAGCAGTAGGACCAATGCAACCTATTGCAAGGATTGGTGCGACAGGCATGCAGTATGGACCCCCAATATTACATCCACCTGCACCACAGCTTGTACCAGGTGAATCTTCTTCATATCATGTCCATGTTTGTTGTAAGCAATTGCATTTTTCTTTGTGTTCTTCCGTTTTCCCAAATTTGGCTACATGAATTTGTTTTGGGATCGAAAATGCGACAGGAGGCGATGGATTCGGGCGTACTAGTCATTCTTGAAACTCTTCCCACACACCCATGTGTCTTGTGTTCGACACTTCTGCTAAAGAATGTTCACTTTGGAAGTGGCAGGTGCAGTTCCAATGTTGCCCAGTGGAGGTATGTCAGCTATACCCATGCAACCAATGCATCCACCTCCGCCTGCCGGGCCTCGACCACCTCCGTTGCCTCCAGGACGCCCTCCTGCCGAAGGTGCTGGGAGTACGAAGTCTATTGAAGATGTTGTGAAATATCTACCTCCCTCTCTTGGCTCTTTCCTTAGTCGTCTTCCACGAGCAGTTAATGGTAAGGATCTCAACTAACACTGCATTTTTGGAGGGTGTCTACATTGTCCAGGAGTAATCGTTCGAATCGATTGTTCTTCACTTACATTTGTTGTTTATGTTTATCTTAATTGCAGTTGTTGAATCTGCTTGTTAGCCTCAACTTCGTAAACTAGAGTTTCGGGTTGAATAGCAAGAACATAATAATGTCAGTTGGTAGTGTCGTATATCTGCGTAAGGTTATTATTTTGTGTATGGGGTACTCAACTTCATTTTACTTAACTTTCATCGTGTCACAGGACCTTATCCTGAACCAGACACAGTCATAGCGTATCTGTTACAAACTGATCTTCAAGCAATGATGCAAGAAGAGGGCCTCACATTACCGACTAGCGGAGTGACCGCAAGCCCTGCTGGTGGCGACCAGAATGCATACAATCAAAGCCAGGAAAGAACCATTTCTAAAAGTAGGACCAATTATAGTAGTCAATCCGCTTCCGAAGGGAGGAATGCAACTGGTTCAAATGCTCGACAGTCGCGACTTCCGCCAAAAAGAAAAGATCCTGAACGTAAGCTCCTGTACAATGAACAACATGCTTTTTTGACTTTGAATGCAGGAATAAGTTTGAATTCGAACAGGCGCTTTTTATTGACTTGCCAGCATGATAATCAGAAGTCTTTGGAAGGTTTTAGGGATTAACAATCTGTGTATTTCTTGCTCTTGTATTTATGTATTTAGGAGGTGAAGATGATGAAGAGACACCTGGGCCACAAAGTCGACCACCTCCCCGAGATGTTTTCAGGTTGCGGCAGCTACAGCGTGCTCGAGGTGGCACCTCGTCAATGCAGTCGGGATCCACCTCAGGCAACAGCGGAGCTTTTAGTGGGGATGTTTCAGGTAGCTCTGAGTAGCAATTCTCAGGAATTGATATATAAAAGAAATTCCTATTCTTTATGATTTCACTATCAAAGTGATTTGTAACATCTTTGGTGTAACCGTGTTATATATCCGTTCTTTCATTGAAGTAATGTTTAGTTTAGTTTAGTTTAGGTGCCCATCTGCTTGCTTCTTGTTTTTATCTAGGAAAGAGATGAAGCGTTCGATTGTGCTAGTTTTGTTTTTCCTGCAATAGCACATCTGCAACTTTAACTATTGTGTGTTTTTATGGCTTGGAAGGGCATTATCGTTAGGAAATTTGCTTTTCATGTCTTGCACAACAGATTCGTAATTTGTCTACAAAAGTTAAGAGAATGTAGGACCTGTCTCTTGATTCCAACTAGCAAATTGAGATCCCTTACCAATATTACAGTTTAATATTACACCTTCAATTTGTATTATTATTTTTATCTTGTCAAAGAAATATGATTTATTTTTTTTTATTTTGGTATTGCCTTTCACCACCTTTAGATTTCATTGCAATTCAATAGCAGAAGATTTTGTTTAAATAGGTAATTTTTTTTCAAAAATGAAATTAAAATACAAAATTATTATTTAACATCAGTGTTTTTATAAAAATAAAACACTTATACATTATTGTTAATTTTTTAAAAAGTCAAATCCTTTGATACAAGTGTTAAATTTAGGGGCTTCAATGATTCTCCATATATATGGACCTAAGTTTGTATTCAAAATCAATGTTTTCAAATAAAAACAATTGATAGTTGTTACTTGTCCAAGATAACCACACAAGCTTGTAATGGTATTATCTGTCTTAAGAGCTTGTACTTGCCCTAATAGCACAATGCTAGAAGAGTAGTAAGTGAAAAGATAAGGTGCTATTATAAGGCTGCTAAAATTAATATACACAATAAGGTATATGAATATTTAAGGGTCAAGAAAAGCACAACAATTCAATCAAGAATTAGAACAATACTTAATGGATTCTAAGCAATAGGACTATGAGTTAGATAGTATTAGATCGAAGATTGTGTGATTTTGACTAAGTAGTAAATGGGACCTTTGCTTCTTTTCTAATCATCATATATATTATATCTAGTTTTACATGGTCTTATTGTATACTTGTTGGTAATCTCAAAAGCTCCAATAATATTTAGCGACCATACTATGGAACATTGTATAACAAAACCTGGATAAGATTTGGTAGATCTACAAGGAAAATGAGCAAACAAACCAAAGTAGGAGGAGATATAGCAAGATCTCCTCATAGTCGACCTTAGTCCAACAAATAAAATGGAAGAGTGGCCGGAGACTTATAGAATTGGTTACAACTATATACCATGATAATGGAAGATTACATAAAAAACAACTTTACAAGAAATGTCACATTATAAAGAATTTGCACAAGTAGTCATGAGTTCACAATTTGAGTCTTAGGCACCTCAAACATGGCAATCAAATTAACAGATAGAAGAAGGCCATGGCTAGATTCCATGAGAAAGTCTACTTGCAAGCTTCATTTAAACCTTGGTGGTTATAGTCAATTTAAGAAAATCCACCCTTAAGTATCTCATTTACAATTGCACAAGTGACTCCAATAAATATATCAAAGCATACTTAATTATAGCAAAGATTAATGGTATTCTACTACTACTAATATTAAAACAAACATTTGGAATAATATTATAAGAAATAGATATTATATGATTTTTATCATTTATTCATAGGCATCTCAAGGCTATTTAAAAAGAATTTAAATTAAGCTTTGTAAAAAGATTCAAGCACATGAAAACCAATGATGACATTATATTAGAGTTGTCAAAAATTAAGCAAGCTAGTCACAAAATAATAAAAGATTATCTACATCAATTTGTTGATCTTGTGGAAAAACTCAATACTATTTTCACTTATTCTATTTAGACCTTGTGGCTAAAAGAAGGCTTACTACCTATTATCAAGCAAAGCATGATGTATATGCAACCCAAAAGTATGAAAAAACAATCAAGGCCATTCTTGAGTTTGGACACACATTATCATTTTCATGAGAATCTAAACAAAATAATCCATATAGAATATTAGCAACATATAAACAATTTCAAAAGATGCATTCAAGGGAGTATTGGTAGGATCCTTCAAATGCAAATAATCGTCAAAGTAATATTCAAGGAAAGTCAATTATTGCAACTATAGAATTGGAGGAAGAAATTGAATGTACGATGTTCCATCTACAATACAATAAAAGACCTAACAATCAACCAATATAGACAAGCCTATGTTTTGAATGTGAGAGAAATTACCAAATCAACAACTTCAATTATATACGACAACTATGGACAAAGTTTCAAAATGAATAGAATTTGCATCAAGGTGGGATAACCATTACAAATATCAAAGAGTCGCTCTTATTAATGATATGAACAATAGAAGTTAAGTATGCAATGGTAAGTATTTGAGCTAATCAATATCAGCTCAAAATACCTATAAAAATAGAACAAGAATCTTATTTCTTATATACTACATAGTATTAAAAATTGCTTGAAAAAATTTGTAAATAAATACAACAAGAGCTATGTGCGGACAAGGCCACAAAATCAATTCACTCCAATGTTAAAGAAATTTCATTTGATAACATATTCAACAAAATTGCAATTATAATTTTGTTTATTTAGTTATTCAAATTGAATCCCAAGATATTGACATATCTAAAATACAAGGCATATCTTAAATCATTATTGCAAGTAGTTGTAGACTTAAAAGCCGCAACCATAGATCCCAATGTCGCAAATATCAAAATTTTCATCAAAAAACATCAACTAATGAATGTATTCATGGATAGAAGATCTAGTGCTAATATCATGGTAAATCATATCTGCAATTTCTTCAGTCATTCTCAAATCAAAGTAATTTTATTCATACTTTGCATAGCAAACAATGCTCGTATTAAGTCAATTGGGATATTACAGAACATAATCAACACAATCTAAGAGATTTAAGTACCAATTATTTTTTCAATAATTAAGATGCTTGACAAGAATCACTTTCCAATCATTTTGAAAAGATCATAGATGTAAGATATGAATGCACCTTAGGACTAGTTTAATAATAAAATTATTATTCATTGCCAACATCAATATAGTTGTATCTATGTCAATATCTGCGTAACTTAAGAAAAAGCCTCAATAACTTGAAAAATCATGGACAATGACTTAACTATTAGATTGAGCTTCAATCAAGAAGTACAAGATTTGCACTAATGCTCCACTTAGTTATTATTGCAACATGAATCTCACAACTATAACAAACAATAAACAATTAGATATTATAAAAAGATCATTACCCTCTTTCACATATAGAAGAAATCATTAATAAGGTAGTAGGCTATAAGATGTATAACTTCATCGGCTACTTCTTGAGATACTACTAGGTAGCCATAGCACCAAAAGATAAAAATAAAATTGCTTTCTTTACAAAACAAAGACTATTCTAGTTTGAATGAATATTGTTTATTACAAAAAATACACCAATGACATTTAAATTAGTGATGGAATTTTTTTTTAAGCTACACTTCAAGAAATTCTTTCAAATATATCTTAATGATGAAACCATCTACAAACATTAAAAAAAATCTTATCCAATAGCTATAGCAAATCTTTCAAGCCTATCAAAAATATGATATTAAACTCAATGCAGATAAATGCATATGTTTTTTTTTTCTAGATTTGTACTTGGGTATATTAACTACTTTTTGAACAAGTTGTTGAATCCAAAAAAAATCAACTAAATCCAAAACATTCCTAAGCCTCATAATAAAAAAAAAATATAAAATATACTTAAGATTGATAAGCTCAATAAGATCTTTATAAGAAATTTGGCACATATGATCTCTTCTATATTAAAACTCAATAAACCCAAGTATAAGTATATGCTTCATTAGAACTTAGCAGCTACTAAAGTTTTAAAAAAAAAACAAAGGTGCATATTTAAACTATCTAATATTGCTAGCATCCAACTAATAATTTTTTTTTGCATGTATACCAATGCTTCTAAAGTTTCACATCCTTAGAAAATTAAATGTAATTATTAATTCCTCTCAAGAATACTTTGCTATACATTAGACTTAAATATCAACAATTTGTTTCTAGATCTATATCTATGTAGTGCTATTATGGATGTAACATTGCTTACAAATAATTGAATCTATGTTTTGTAAAGATGTTAATTAATACATTTCTTTGTGCTATTTGTGTCAAATAATCAAACTTGGATTCATACAAATAGAATAAGTTCCATTATATTCCATATCTTTACTTGCACCATTTATGCATTGAGGGCAAGACTTCATTGGCTTCATTAAACTACTTATGCAACAACAATTATATATCTATATATATCTATATATATATATATATATATATATATATATATATTTAGAGAGAGAAAGAGAGAGAGAGAGAAATTATGTCACTAAATGGTATAAAGTACTTGTATTAAAATTCAATACTGCCTTGATTATTACGAAGATTTTTTATAAAAATGTCATTATCTAGTTTGGATGCCCAATTAAAATAATCTTTGATTATAAGATATATTTTGTAAACAAGATCATCAAAAAATTAATGGACACATTTATAATTATGTATGGCACATCTATGACATAATATTTTTAAGATAATGGACTTGTCCAATCTATTAACAAAATTATTATAAATTTGTTATTTTATTTTATATACAAAAATAAAAAAAATTGGGATGAATATTTATTAGCTCTCTTTTGGATCCATTGCATCACATATGAATTTGTAATAGAATATTCACTGTTCAAATTCATATTTGGTATATAATCCTTACTTCCTATAGAATACATTGTGCCTATATTTGATAAACTTGCATCCTTAAAAGACTTCATTATTAAGATACTTGTAGCTTGCTTGAAGAATCTTGAAAGAATTGAAGAATTGTGCCATCAAGCCATGACCAATATCATACATAGTTAAGAAAAAATATAAGCCATTTATCAAAAGAATTTCAAATCTTGCAAATTCAAGAGAAGCAACAAGGTCATTGGATGTCTTAAAGACCTAAAAATTTATAACTCTAAATTTGATGTACTTTGGTACAAACTATTGTTGTATAATAGCACAATTATATGATGAAAAATAAAAATATGGATGTTATTATAAAATATTCTTATAGAAAGATGTAATAGAAAAACAATAATAATTTATAAAAAGTTAGTAAAAAAATTAGTCTTA